TAGTCCGCCATCTTGCTGGATCTCCCCCGAGTTGATGCTTTTGAGTTGTGATGTTGGCAAAGAATACTGAAAGACTGCCAGAAGAACTAACAAATCTGTCCTTGAGGAAGTGCAGCCAGAATGTTCCTTGGAAGCTAGAATGGCCAGACTTTGTCTCACCTACTTTGGTCATGTTGTCAAAAGGGACCATTTCCTAGAGAAAGGATATCATGCTCATTAAAGTAGAGGGTCAGCAAAAAACGGGAAGACCCTCAATGAGATGGATTAACACAGTGGCTGCGATGATGGGCTCAGGTATAGCAAGGTTTATAAGGCTGATATATAGGACCAGGCAGTGTTTTGTTCTGTTGCACATAGGGTCGCTATGAGTCAGAGCTGATTCGACAGCATCCAACAACGGTGTGTTTTTATTTTTAAAAGAGAAGATATAAAAAGCTGAGGCCAGTGATCTTACTGAATAATTGAAAGAACATTTTACCCATAATTCACTCTGTAAACTCACCTCTCTGGACCTCTAGATCTTTATCCGATAAATTTTTACTGGTATTTTAGTGTCTTCTAGTTTTAAATTCTGTAGTTGCAATACTCTTTGTTTTATGTTATAGTCCTCTTTTAATCAATGTCATAATTTTTTATATTTTTTAGATTTCTAGTTTTCTTGGCAAGTAAATATAACTCTTACGTATGGAATGTTAAATAAGATTGCATACTAAAGTTATGTCTTAGAAGCTTAAGTTTTTGCATAAATTGTTACAGTGATATTTTACTCTTCCATTTTTCTCTTAAGAAGATATATTTGTCCGTGAGGAATGTGGAAATTTTGCATGATACAACATGCATTTCACCTTCTACTTCTAAACTCAGTAGAGAAGAGTCTCAGTTTTAACTGTAAACATGCTGCTATGAAGCAAGTAAAGTTCTAAGAGGTGTTAAAATATGTTGCCATTTGTGTGGGGGTAAAAAAGAAATGTATATATGTTTGTATAAGCATATACCTCTCTTGGAAGTATATTCAAGTAAGTGCTAACATCTATTGTTTCTGAAAAGGAGATTTTGAAATAAGGGAGGTGGGAGGGCAGGCTGTAGATAAAGGAGGGAGATTTCACTTGAAATCATTTTTGTGCTATTTGAATTTCTTTAAGCCATGCAACTATTACTGCAAAACTGTTTTAAGTACTTTAAAAAATATGATCATTTCTTGTTCAAAATAGATTAATTTTTATTGTAAAACATTATTGAAATGACATAAATGTACATAAAACTGGAAAATAGAAAAGGTTAGCATCAACTGTGAAATTTGGTGATAGGGTCAAACCAGTAGAGTTGAGGAATTTCCAGTTCTACTCAGCAGATTTGGAGATGACTCCAGTCTTGCTGTTAGCTCCCTAAGGCTTCGAGCCAGGAGGCGCTTACAGTAAGCCATAAGACAGAAGGATGTTGGCTAAGTCTGCTTCCTGTTCAGTTAACAGAGTACAGGCTGTAACATTAGTTCTGTTATTGTTGTTGTCATGTGCCGTCGAGTCAGCCCTGACTCCTAGCAACCCCTCCTTGGGTTTCCAAGGCAGTATCACTACGGAAGTAGGATTGCCCAACCTTCCTTCCGAGGAGTGGCTGGTGGGTTTGAACCGCCAGCCTTCTGGTTAGCAGTCAAGTGCTTTAGCCACTATGCTACCAGAGCTCCTAACAGTAGTTCTAGGCCACAAGAAGGAGAAAGCTCTCCAAAGTAGAGGTCTGCTATCATGGGTTTTAGGGTTTAGAGGCAAAATAGTTCCCTAATAAGCTTCTGTTCACTACATTAATCCAGTGTGACCTTGTATTAACTGGTAACATCCAAACAAGGTCATGTGTATAGGTACTAAGGGTTAAGACTTGAACGTATCTTTTTGGGAGACACAATTTAGTCAATAACACATAGTTAAAAAATCAGATGCAAAATTTGAAATACTAAGAATGGAATGATAACAAAAATATTACATGTCAGTATTGATGGAACATTGATGACACTAATCCTGTTCAAGGAAGAAAACCTCAGAATTTGAAAAGTAGAATGATGGCAAATACTATTCTCTGAGTCTAATTAAATAAAACTGTAAGTTAATAAGGAGCTCTGGTGGCATAGTTCCTAAGGCACTTGACTGCTAACCAGAAGGCTGGTGGTGCAAACCCACCAGCCGCTCCTTGGAAGGAAGGCTGGGTAATCTACTTCTGTAGTGATACTGCCTTGGAAACCCAAGGAGGGGTCGCTATGAGTC